TGCCCTGCAAGTAGTGCTCTGGTGTGTGTGTGAGGGATGGGCTGTCCTTTCCAGAGTCAGTTGAGGGTCACTGGCTTGTAAGGTAACATCATTAGTGACAAAAACAGACCTTAGAGTTGCTGGATAGGATCCTTATTTGGGCATGCATGCAACTTGGAAGTTCAGCTTTTGTGTACATAATACAATCCCATCCCATCTGAATGAACACCACAAAGATTCTGTAGGACAAAACTGTTTCTTCATCATGTCCACAAGTGTTTATTTGATTAACTGCTAAGTGTCCAGCACTATGGCTGGCTCCAGTCAACTATACCAGAAAAAAGTAGTAGACATAGTTCCTGGCTTTTACGCTTATTGCAGTGTAGTTGGAGAGACAAATTGTGGACACGGTGAAATAATTAGAGAACTATAGAAGATTCTTGGGATGTTTCCATCCCCAACCCCTGCCTGTGAGGTGGCTTGGGCTGCTGTTAATATATACTCTGAGAGGTTCCATGACTTGTCCAAGGTAACTTGGCAAGGCACGGTGCAGCCAGGTAATGGTCTTTCTCCCTAAAGAAAGAGCTTGCAGGGCCTAACGCTGCCCTAGCTGTGCTGGTCCTGGGGCAACTGTCCCGGGACAGCTATCCCAAGGCAACCGCCTACAGGTGGCTGCACTCTGGTCTTGCTATCAAATGACACTTAACCTTGATTCCCATTGAAGTGCCCTGCCTCAGCCATCTCCCCACCTCGCGCTAAAAGTCATATGGTGCCCCAAGCAGGGAGAGGAAAACCCCAATATCCACCCATACCTCTACTGTGAATACAGCACTGAAGAAAATTTGCATGGCCCCAAATATTAAAAATTCTTGAATCTAGGTCGTGGGTATATGAATGATCATTGTACTATTTTCCAACTTTTCTGTGTGTTTGAGACTTTTCAAAATTAAAAGTTGGAGGGAAATTACAATGTCCGCCCTCCTCCCCACAAATGCACATGGCCCCTGCCCTCAGGGAGTTTACAGTCTAGTAGTGGAGGCAGACACAAATAATTATAATTATCTTTGTGATGTGCTGCAGAGGAGTGCTACTGCCCGCTAGGATAATTCATTACAAGGGGACCTGATCCAGCAGTGGACAGGGGCGGTGGGTGACAGGAAAGGCTTGCTGAGGGCTTTAACTAGGAAAAGGGTAGGTGTGAAGATGGGTGAGATCTCACTTCTGCTCCCAGGCTGGGAACATTTCATTTGTTAATTCACGCACTTTTATTTTCATTCATTCCTTCAACGTGTGTTTATTGGGCACCGACTCTGCCAGGCCCTGTGCCAGGTGCTGGGGATATAGTGGTGGCCACGGCACACACGACAGCCCTCTCAGAGCTTCCCCGTGAGAGGCCAGTATAAGCCCCATTTCCTCTTCATATCCTAAAACCTGGAAATGTGAGTGTTCGCGGCATTCTTATTACAAAACTGCATTACAGCCGAGCGATTTGTCTGTATAGTATAATGAGATTTTGATCTGCAGTCATGTGCACAGCATTTACTTTGTAGAGTCTCTGCTGTAAATTTTCTATTAATTGCTGGCTTTGTTACCCAGTATGGCCCCTCCCTTTTTGTGCTGTAAGGGAGCGAACCCATTGCACTAGCCTGAGCAAAACTAATTAGAAAGATAAGTCCCCTGGATAAAGGTATTCCAGAACTAAAGAGGACTGATTTCTGGACTTGCATGGGTTTCTGGATTATCGGAGCCTTGGTTTTGTATTATCGTGCGCAATTGAGGAGCGCTTTCAGTTGCATTTACGTTAAAACCACATTCCAGAAAGAAAGAGAAAAGAAAAGAAAGAAAAAGAATACCGTAGATAAGTGTAACATGTCTCTTTCAACGATCTCAAAACACTTCCATCTGTATGATTTCATTTTCCCCAGCAGCTTCCTGGATGAGTATTACTGTTCTTTTCATTTTATGGGTTCAGGAAGACCAAATGAGTTAGTCCAAAGTGTTACTGCTGGTCAGTGGATGAAGCAATGAAACACCTTCCAGATGACACAGATTCGTTTTTATATAAAAAAAACTCTGGCCTTTTCATCATGTTTCCAAGAAATAAAAATCCTGCCATGTCCCCTCTTCCCCCTCTTTTCACTGCGACCCCCCCACCCCCACCTCAGTATACTCATGGAGGTTGAGAAGAGTATACTTGGGTGCTTTGAAGACTCTGATGTTAAAAAATATTCTCAGCTTAAACCCCAGATAGCACAGTCATGGCTATGTGTGGGCTTTCTTCCTTCCTTCCTTCCCTCCCTCCCCTCCCCCCCCTCCCCTCCCTCCCTCCCTCCCTCCCTTCCTTCCTCCCTTCCTTCCTTCCTTCCTTCCTTCCTTTCTTTCTTTCTTTCCCATACTTTAAATAAAAATCTTGGAGCCACCAGCCACGTAATGATGGATTATTTTAAGTAACAACTGGAGGAGGCGCGCAGAATAAATTTGAAACACAGACCCTTCCTCCTCGGTTTGGCAGGAGGAGGCTTCGGCTTCCTGCACAGAGGAAGGACCACATGCTCGGGAGGGGGAGATAACGTTCCCGCTTCTGCAGTGTCTTCTCATTAGAGGCAGCCATCTGCTGAATTATGCAGCACGCTCTCCGCTGGCCCTGCAGTGGGGTCATCCCTTCCACTCACTTAAAGGTGACTGGGCAAAAGATTCACGGGCCTTCTTGGGGACAGGACCCAGGGCTCAGGTTTCTCCTGCCAGGGCCCTCTCGGGAGCAGAGCTCTGCGCTTTCACGGCCCTGATGAGGTGTGAGGTCGTGTTCAGTTTCCTTTCGCAGCAGAGGCCCCCAGCTCTGAGCACTGGCGCTGAGGCAGGAACTGGGTTTTTTCAGATCCCCTTTAAATGAGACCAGATGGAGGCAGAGGCAAATTCAGGCTCCCCAGAGGACAGCTGGGCGTTCATCCAGAGGCCTGTGAGTAAACCTTTTTTTTTTTCTCTTTTTAACAGATTGGAGATAACAATGACCAGAACACCTAGGAAACTCTAAATGGCCTGATTTGAAGGGAATCTGTCAGGCTTTTGTGGGAAAGTTGACCCACCCTGGGCAAGGGCCACCCCTGGCTGAGGTGGAGATATTTCACCTAGAATCTGGCTGGTTGGGTTCGGTAGCTCTGGGGCTCTTGAGCAGAGGCCAGGCTGAGGCTCAGGCTTGAGTCAGCAGTGAGGGAAATGGGAGCTAGAGGTGGGAGAGAAGATGCAGAAGAGGGGCACCAGCGTCTCCTGGCCTCCACCGCCTCAGTTGCCTCGTGTGGGCCAGAGGTGCCTTGGTGAGCCCACGGGCTTCTGGGTCATTTTCCATGACCCTTCTCCTCCCGACTGGCATCAGCCACAAGCCCGATGTCCCAGAATTCTAGCAGCAGAAAGAAATCTATGCGCCACTTGAGTCAGCTTTTCCATTTGAGAGCGGCGGTCTGCTTGACAGGGCCCTGGGTCCCAGCACCATTCTCTGCCACTAGATCACTGTGTGACTCGGGACAAGCCACTTCCTGCCTCTGAGTCTCTGTTTCCCTTTTTGTCAAATGCGCGGGTTGGATTAAGTGATCCGTAAGGGTGTTTCCAGCTCTGACATTGTACACTTCTTGTGTTTCCTCCAGCCTGATTTCTTTTAGGTCCTTGCCTGCTTCTGCTTCCAAACGAGGTGGCGGAATTTAACTCCACCCCTTCCCTGCTTTGACTCCTTGAGCTGGGTGGGGAGACGGCTGTAGAGAAAGCAAGTCTGTGCTTTTAGCTCAGCAGGGTCTCTGGAACTGGAATAGAAACAAACAACCCTTCACATGTTGTCTGTCCGTCCGTGTAGGTGTATGTAGCTATTGACTTCCTATAAAGGTACATGACAGCTGAATTTTTGTCTATTGAATCCCCTTTTACATGCACTAGGAGAGCTGGATATTTAATAGAATCCTGCTGTGAATCCTTCTATAGAATGAAAAGCCACTCTGGAATCGATCCGGTGTATTAAAATCCAGAGTTCCGTCTATTGGATTTGCCAAAACTGGGCCTTCTCCCTGTATGGTGAGGATGGTTTCCTTTGTGCTTCGTCAGGATCCCCTAAGCTGCTCCCCCACTGAAAGGCACTGGGGCCCCTAAGGGGTGCTGCTAGCTTTGGCAGGTTTCATTTCTCCTCCCAAAGGCCCCCAGATTTCTCTCTCCCAGTTCAGGGCATCGCTACTACTGTCAGTTTCCTCTCAGCTCAGCTTAATTGGAGCCAGGGAAATCGTGACGTTTGATGTGTTAGGCATACTGGAGTTGTTGTTGTTTTAACCTCTGGGAACTTAGCAGTGCTCTTGTGGTTCTTATGGCTGATAATATGGGATAATAAGTGGCATTCACTCCCTTGGTAACACCGGAGGTAACAGATAGGGCTATCATCCACCTGATTGTTTCAGCAAGACTTTTTGCTGCATGTTTCAGGGTATGTGATTTGACTTTGACTTCTGGTTCACATGAATCTTTATAAGAATAAGGCATACTGTATAATAATGTTATATTGCATATAAATATGTTATAATAAGAAGAATAATAAGGTTTTATTGTGTTATTGGGAAAATAAATGTTTTATATACAATAAAACTGCCAGAAAGCTGAATACTTCACCAAATTTTCTGGTTATCTGTACATAAAGCAACTTTTTGGCTGTAACTAAAGATTTTGCTAAAATATCTGAGGCCACTTTCCTGCCTAGGAAAGTATCATTATAGAATCTTAAAAAAATAATATTTAAATTCTGATTATAAAAGTAAAATATGGGGCTTCCCTGGTGGCACAGTGGTTGAGAGTCCGCCTGCCGATGCAGGGGACACGGGTTCGTGCCCCGGTCTGGGAAGATGCCACATGCCGCGGAGCGGCTGGGCCCGTGAGCCATGGACGCTGGACCTGCGTGTCCGGACCCTGTGCTCCGCAACGGGAGAGGCCACAACAGTGAGAGGCCCGCGTACTGCAAAAAAAAAAAAAAAAAAAGTAAAATATGCCTACTGTAGAAAATTTGGAAAACAGAAAAGCAGCAGCTCCTACAGCCCCTCCAAGCCAAAAGCAACCATTCTCACCATTTTGGTATATATTCTTCCAAGTTTTTAAAAATGCATGCATACTTTTTTTCCTCATGGTTGGGATGATCTTGTATACACAGTTTTTTATCTAACAGTATTTGGTGATCATTTTCCTATGCCATTAAATATTCTTAGAATCTATTTTTATCAGCTGTTTAATATTCCATCATGCATCATTGAACTATTCATTGAGTTTGAACGTCCTGAAGATTTGCAGGGTCTCTCAGAGATTGATATTCAGAGCTGGGGAGGGAGATAGAGGAAGGGAAGGTGTGAGAGATCAGGCCCACCAGTAAGGGACACATGGGGCTGCCGGAGATAATCCTATTTCAGTGTTTCTGTCCTTTCCTAGCATCTTTGTGCCAAGGCCAGAGGAGAAAGTTGGGGACAAGCCCGGTCTTTGGCCATGAGTTCCAAACTTTTTGTTTTGATCTTGTCCTTCAGAATGACAGCTACTAACTTGGCTACCCCAGTTTTAAACGGAGGCCAGAAATTCTCCGTCGACACAGATGCGCCCTCGGTTTCCGGAGGCTTCCTACATGGCTTGCGTCCTGTGCCACCAAGGTTGGAAGGGGGGAGGGGGGCAGGGGTTGCCCACTTGGGTGCTTATGGGACCCTTTATTTTCAGAATCACAGCAAGGGGAAAACGATGCACGGCTGGAACTGCCCTCACTCGTACTTCATAACACGAACCTCCGACTATTCAATTAAAACGCGCAATCGGTGTGTCCTCGGGGGAGGAGGCGGAAGAGAAAGCGTTGTTTCTGCCTGTGATATGAAATGTGGTATAACGTATTTCAAGACCGCAGGTGACTGCAGATGAGGAGAAAACAGGAAACGTAATTGGGGAGGGGAGTGGGGCCTCTCCCAGTTCTCAGGAGCACGCTTTCATTTTTGCCTGCCTTTTAGCTCCTCTCAGACGCTGCAGCCTAATTACCCCTGCTGCAAAGCTGAGCCAGAACTCGCTTTTCATGTATTAAAAATGGTTTTTAAATTACACAGGTAATGTGTGAATACATTCATGCTGTAAAAGAATCAAACAATGCAGAAGCACACTGACTACCCCCCGAGGAAGCCCCTAGTTCCAGTCCCCTCCCCTGAGTTCTAGGTGTGGTGTGTGCCTTTTAGTCCCCTTTCTCTCACATACATTTAAGTGCAAATACACGCAGAGGTTTTTTCTGCATATATGGCCTCATACTGTGCTTATTGTTCTACAGTTTCTTTTTTTCTATATTATAATATGTCTTGGAGATATTCCGATTAGTACCTATAGACCTACTGCATTTTTTAAAAAATTATTATTGGAGTATAGTTGATTTATAATGTTGTGTTAGTTTCAGGTGTGCAGCGAATGAATCAGTTATACATACACTTATATCCACTCTCTTTTAGATTCTTTTCCCGTATAGGCCATTACAGAGTATTGAGTAGAGTTCCCTGTGCTGTACAGTAGGGCTTTATTAGTTAACTATTTTATATATAGTAGTGTGTATATGTCCATCCCAGTCTCCCAATATATCCCTCCCCGCCCTTACCCCCTGGTAACCATTAGTTTGTTTTCTGCCTCTGTGACTCTGTTTCTAGATCTACTGCATTCTTCTTAATGGCTGAGGAATATTCCAGAATATGCACGTACCATAATTTAGTTAACTGGTTTTTCTGTCACAACCTATGAAACACCCGAACGAACTTTTTGGCCAACCTAATATTTTCCCCATTGTCGGACATTTAGGGTTTTTTCCCCTAGGTTTTCAGTATTATAAATAATTCTGTAATGAGTTTCCTTGTACTGTACATGGACCTTTGTACAGGCATGTGAGTCTCTGTAGAGTAGATCCCAAGGGGAGGTTGCAGGTCACGGGAGGTGGGCCATTTAACATTTTGGTGGCTGTGGCCTTTCTAGCCTCTCAGTTCAAAGCGTCAAACGTGGCACCACCTGCTACTCAAGATGATAACTTAAGGTTTTAGTGTCAGACGTCCTGGGCCAAGTTGCCAGTTCCATCTCCTTTTGTGCACTTTGCAATCCAGGGAACATTCAATTGACTGCAATCAAAGCAGTCAGGACCTCAATTAATCCGGCCACGTTAAGGAGAAAGAGGAAAGAGATAAGCTATCGGAGGTTTAGAGAGGGAAGAGGGAAGAAACTTCCAGGGGCTGTCCAGGGGTCAGTGTCCATTCAGCCCAGTGTCCTGTCCTTTTCACCATTACGTATTTACCTCTGAACAATGAGGACTGATGTTCATAACGGTGACCTTGACATCTTCTAAGTTTCATCAAAGCAGGAGTGAATGGTGCTCGCTAGGCAGGATTTCCTAAAGCAGGAACTGCATATACAAATTCATTTTCGAAGCTTTCTCAACTACAAGGATTGAGACATACAGTTTGCTGCTTAAATCTTGATTAGCAAGAAAGACGCATTACCCAGATTCCATGTTCCCTAGTCCCCAAACCTTCCAGTTAACTTAGGTGTATTGGACACCGGGTAAAAAGATACAGAAGAAAAAAGGATTCTAAAAGTTACCAGTGGACCTTACCAAATCCAGACCAATGGTCATTTCTCTGTAATTCTTCCTGACTTCAATCTTGGCCTCTGGCGATAGAAAACTATTGGGTCATCTCTTACTTTTCTGATCATCCCCCCACCCCTTGGAAGAATTCTCTTCATCTTCCCATTCCTTACTTGTGGGCATTGCTTATATTCAGTCCTTAATTCTTTTCTCCCTGTACTGTCTCTTGAAGAACACATCCAGTTTCATACCTCTCACTGCTAAATTTATATCTCAGTCCTGAATTCTCCCTGAGCCTACAATCCCATATTGCTAAGTACTTAGTGGGTAGATGTGTCACCATAAAATCAAAACTATCTTGTTTTCTTTAATATAGAAAATGCTTTTACAAATCCAGAAGAGAAAGACAAGCACTCATTTTAAGAAAATGGACAAAGACGTGAATAGGCAACTCGCATACACAGACACAATACACATATGTAGTTGAACAATAAAAAAAGTTCACTCTCACTAATAAAATGCAAATGAAGTTACATGATGCCATTTTGCAGTGATTCAATTCACAATGGTTAAAAAGCCTCAAACTCAGTGCTGGTCTAAGTATGTGTAAACAGACACTCTCGCATACTGGCGTTAGAAATAGACATTTGTAATATTCTCTGTTGAATGATTTCTCGGTGTGTACCAAAGTCTTTCCAATGTGTGTGGCCTTGCACCCAACAGGCTTTAATTCTAGGAATTTAGCTTAAGGAAATAATCAGAGACTATGCAAACCTGTAAGAACAAGAATTATTACTTACAATGTTGAAAACTTGGAAACACGCTAAATGTCTAGTAGTGGAAGACATTTCACTGGTTGAGAAAATGTGGTAAATTCCCACAATGGAATTCTATGTGGCCAAAAAAGTAATGTTTTAGAAGTATACTTAATTACTCAAGAGAACATCCATACTATATTAAGTGTCCGGTTATTAAGCCAGGTGATGAAAAGGAATATACAGGATTATCCCTATTTTGTAAACAAAAAAAAAGGAAAGAAGTATTATATATAGACTGTAGGGAAATACACGTAAATACTAATAGTGACTGTCTCTGGAGAGTGATATTATGGGTGATTTTTATTTTCTTCTTTATAATTTTCCATATGTTTTAAAATTTCTACAGCGAACATGGATTACTCTTATAAAAAACCTGATAAGTGTAATTTTAAAATAATGGCTATTTAAAACTAGAATCTTCGACTTTTCCACTAAAGCACCCTTTCCTGGCTTCCATCTTTCTGCCCTTGGTGCCATCAATCCAATCTCCCAGGCGCAGGACCTTGCAGCCTTATAGCTTTGATTGCTCCCGCACTCTCTGCCCAGTCATTCACCGAGTCTCATCCTTTCTTTAGGACGGCTCTCAAATTTGTTCCTCCCTCCTGAGTCCCAAGTCAGATCAGTTCACTTCAAGCAGCATTTATCGTCACAGTGCCTGGCTGTCTGTCACTCTGCCAGTTCAGCGTTATTGGAGTCCTCTCCTAATATGTCTTCCTGCCCCTTCTCCCTCTCTCCTCCCATCGATCAAGCGCCCTGCAGCTGGAATGATCTTTTGAAAAGACTACTTGTGTCATGGCCCTCCCTGCTCAAAACACTCAAAATGCCCCTTTCAAACCCCATTGCCTAGGGAATAAAGGCCATACTCTTTCTTCTGCTATTTAGGGCTCTCACAGCACTGGGCTAGGTGGGAGATAACTGTGGGCACGTGGGAGGTGTTTGGGTGAGGCTTGACAATGAAATAAATCTTTAAGAATAAGATGTGGAGTTCTCCCCGCTGCCCTTCACTGTCTTCAGTTTGAAAATTCCCTTTCCTCATCTTTTGGCACTTGGACAAGATGCCCTGGAGCACTTGAAGTTTCATGGTGCTGAATTTGGACACAGGAAGAGGCAGCCGGGGGTGATGATATATGGCTCAGGAAACCTCAACTCTGGGTCCCTCCCAATTTCCGATGCCTGCTGAGTAGGAGGCTCCATCGAGAAAGCGTATTGGCTCTTAGGTTTCTGTCTCCCCTGCAGTCTTGAGGACCAAGAATGAACAGTGGGAAACTTACATCTTTTTTTTAAAAAAATTAATTAGTTAATTAATTTTTGGCTGTGTTGGGTCTTTGTTGCTGCGCGCGGGCTTTCTCTAGTTGCGGTGAGCGGGGGCTACTCTTCCTTGCGGTGCGTGGGCTTCTCATTGCGGTGGCTTCTCGTTGCGGAGCATGGGCTCTAGGTGCGCGGGCTTCAGTAGTTGTGGCATGCAGGCTCAGTAGTTGTGGCTTGCAGGCTCTAGAGCTCACGGTCGGTAGTTGTGGCACGTGGGCTTAGTTGCTCCGCGGCATGTGGGATCTTCCCGGACCAGGGATCGAACCCGTGTCCCCTGCATTGGCAGGCGGATTCTTAACCACTGCGCCACCAGGGAAGCCCCTTACATCTTTTTTTGATTGCTTTGATAAAAAGATGGAGAAAAGGGTGAGGGAAAGCAAAAGGGGGTGAATGTAGCCCTGAGTGATGCAGGCCACTCATAAAACCCAGCTGTCTTCAGGTACCCCTCTGGGGCCCAGAATATACCACCCAGGACTGAATGATGGCATATGGTTGTCTGTTGAGACTACTCCACTGGAGGGTGTGGGGTGAGATATGTGAGGGTAACAATCTTGCCAGATGGCAGTCATGGGCATGAGGGATATTTAGTTGCGGCGTGCGTGCGGGATCTAGTTCCCTGACAAGGGATCGAACCTGGGCCCCCTGCATTGGGAGCGAGGAGTCTTACCCACTGGACCACCAGGGAAGTCCCAAGAAGAGAAATTGCTTTTTGAAGTCCCTTTGTCATATTTACTGAACACTTATATGTATTCCAGGCATTGTACTAAGCTCGTTACATGTGTTGGCATATTTGAATCTCCCAATCATCTGTAAGGTAATATTATGTCATTTGACAGATGTGAAAGGAAACTGAGTCTCTGTGAGGAGAATTAACCCAAGGCTGGGAACCTCATCCCCTGACCCCCCCGCCCTCCCACCCCTTACAAGCCGCCTCTGTAGTTTGCTGTGTCTGGAACTATGTGACGTTCATTATGGAGCCTCAAGGATGACTGTACCCAAGAATCCATGATTTCTAAGCGAATGGGTCATTTTGCTTTGGATCAGGGACTAGCTAAGGGGAGATGGGCCCCAGTGGGTGTTAATTCCTAGCACAGAGAGCATTTGGATGGGGAAGTGAGACCCAGATTGCTTTTAAGCACATTTTCATTTTCTCCCCTCCCTCCCCTTCCAAATTAGGGTGAAGGTTGCCGAACTGTCCCCCTGGCTGGACATGTGGGGTTTGACAGCTTGCCCGACCAGCTGGTGAATCAGTCAATCAGCCAGGGCTTCTGCTTCAACATCCTGTGCGTGGGTGAGTATTTCCATGGCAGGAAATTCTATTACAGAATATGGATCCTTAATGGCTGGGTGTGGCTCTGCAGGTCATTAGGTTCAATAGTGTGTCATTCTGATCTATTTGCAGGAGTGTTTCTGCCCCTCTTCTTCTTTTATCCCTCTGCTTGTTTTGGTGAGCAGCTGGCTGTAGTTACATTTTTCCCTGCCCAGACCAGAATGCGGGGCCATACCTTGGGGGGAGCTGAGCTGCGTGACACCCAGTGGAAATTCTGTAAGGGAGCTGACTGGCTCAGCTACTCTTATCAGGCTTGTTCTGACTGCAGAAAATAGGAGCCAGGGCAGAATTGGGAGGGAGGTAATAATGGCTGTGGAAAGATGCCTGCTTACCAGCTGTGGGCAGTGGGTTGGGTCTGTCTGTTTCCTCTGCAGCCCTGCTGTGCTTGGTACAGTTTGAGCTCTGTGCAGGCACCACACAGCTGTGTGCCAAGTTCTTTTTATTCCCTTTAAGTGTATCTGTGCCTGGACCTTTAGTCTCAAGTGTGGGAACCATGTCTTAGTCACCTCTACTGTGCTAATTACAGCACAAAGAGAGTTCAATAATGTATGTGAAATGAACGCATGAATTATCCCCGCAGGAGCCACTCACTACATTTCTCAAACACTTTCCCATGTTAACAATTTGGGTCCTTACTAGGACTCTGGGAAGTGAACAGACCAAGTGGCATTCGTATCCTCATGGAACAGACGGAGACCAAGAAACTCGGGGAGGGGGGGGATAAGGGACTTACCTGAGGCAACACAGAATAAGTGGCAGAGCCATGACAGGGACCCAGGTCTGCCTGACCCTTTGTTTGTCCCTCCCACTGCTTTGGTAACCACTGCCAGAGACATCTCTTGAGAATGCAGAAGCACTTTGGAAACTGTCAAGCACCAGCCAAGCAAGTCTCAGGAACAGCAGTTCCTTGACATTCTTTGAGAATCTCTCCTTAGACCTTAAATAACCCCAAATTTGCAAACACGATCACAGTGTAAAATTTTCAATATACAGTGCAGTAAGGCGTACCTGCATATTTTTAGTGACATACCTCCAAACCTTAATGATTCTATAAATACCATAATAATGGCAGTTTTCATGCCCGGTCGGAACACTCGAAACACTTTTGCTAATTGCCTTTTCCTGTTTTTTTGTACAGAGCATACGGGGAATTCATTCATACTGAGGGTGTGAACCACTACTGAATTGGATATTCTACTCTCTAATGTAGTCTAAAGTTCTGTTTTGTAACTAAGGTCATTCATTTTCTTGGACTCTGTTTTTTCTTCTCCCTCCCTGGCACTCCTCAGATCATTTTCTGTTGGAGAATTAGCTACACACTCAAGGACAAGTAGAGAAAACAAAGCCACTTCTAAGTATGGTTGACAGGCAGTCAGCTAGGCTCACTCACTAGTGAAATGACTCACTCTCACGCACCAGCTTTGGAACCTATGAGATGAAAATATGTGCTTCACGGATTTACATATCATGGGCCTGAGAGTCCAGATGTAGGCTGTTAATTCTTCAGATGCCAAAAGTCTACCCATGGTTACGATGAGGTGCTATTAGGAGAGGGATACAAAATAAACAGCAGTCATGGTGATCGACATCAAGATCAAATACCATCACGTCCAGTATTAGCACTGCCAGATCTCTCCCATCTTTGGCTGATGGCCAACTTATTTCACATAACATTTGATTACTGAAAAACTTCCACACAAACATATTGGAGTCCCTTGGCATTCCTCCCAGAGCTCCGGGTGACCTGCATTGAAGCTGAGGGGATGAGAAGTGAAGTGACAGGCCCACCCCCGTCAGTCTCTCAAACCAAGTGCAATTGGGTGGGCTAGTGAAGCTTTAGGAGGGAGGCTGCATAGGTCAGGATGGCTCTCTGGGGGCGGCAGTGTAGGGTAGTTGGACATGTGGTCCACAGGCTCCCCCAGGGCCCGGAGGAAGAGGCAGCCAAGCTCAAGGCAAAGTGAGTGGGAGAAATATTTCTTTATTTCTTTATTATTTATTTTTATTTTTGGCTGCGTTGAGTCTCCGTTGCTGCGCGCGGGCTTTCTCTAGTTGCCGCGAGCGGGAGCTACTCTTCATCGCGGTGTGCAGGCTTCTCATTGCGGTGGCGTCTCTTGTTGTGGAGCACGGGCTCTAGGCGTGCAGGCTTCAGTAGTTGCGGCTCGCAGGCTCAGTAGCTGTGGCGCACGGGCTTAGTTGCTCCATGGCATGTGGGATCTTCCCGGACCAGGGGTGGAACCCGTGTCCCCTGCATTGGCAGGCGGATTCTTAACCACTGCACCACCAGGGAAGTCCCAAGTGGGAGAAATAGTAAACCCCTACCCACCCAGGCATCGTACATATGCAGCTGCTTCACTGTGCACCTGCAGGCATGGAATCGCTCAACTGCCCAGGACAGACCCTCCAAGAGGGGAAGGGTAGAAAGGAGACCCTCACACCCAAGGAGTCACCTCCTCTTTCTCTCTCTACTTATGAAGTTTCAGGAAACGGCTGCCCTAACAGCTCCCTTCTTAGCCGTGCAGGTGCACCCCTTGGATGCACCCGCCCAGGCTGGTTAACTGCATTCCCCATCCCTGATCCAAAAAAAGCCTGCAACTCATGCATCCCCCTCTCTGGCTGGGCTCAGAAGCCTGTCATTGCTCTGAGAACCCACAATTTGGGCCAAAGTCACAGGCGGCTTACGGTGGCTCTAAGGCTGCAATCTCAGCCCAGCCGTGGGACTGGGTAGCGTCACCGACGTGGCGAAGGATCGATAGCTTGGCTGCTGAAGGTGATCGTTTCTCTCGCAGGAACTTCAGCGACCATACTTTCATGCCTACTGCCTGTGCATAACGGTCAACTTTACTCCCTTAATGACGATTATAAAACGGTTCTGTTTGGGCATAGAATATGTTTCCCCAAAGGATTTTCTTTTCTTTACCGATAGGGCATTTTAAGTGTAAAATTATGGTAACACTGGCTTTGGTTATTAACAGAGATCTAGAATATTTTTATCACAGTATTGTTTATTGTGGTGCTGGGCTGCTGATCAGAGGCCCCAGCCTAGCAGAGTGAGTACCCTCCGTGCATAAGTGCGCATGTGCATGCTGGCATGGAGAGGGAGAATTTTTATGAATCAAGAGCGTAATTTATACATAAGGGCACTGATGATGACACCTACGATCATTATTTTTAGAGGGCCAGGCACATGGGTGTGAGCATATTATGGCTCCTCTCCAGCAGACGCTATGGTTGACAGTAATTACCGAGTGGGCTGAGGTCCCCCTCCTGTTCTAAAAAATCTACTAGCCCACTCCCAGTCTACTAGCTTAGCTTTGGAAATCACTTGGATCCCAGGATTCTAGATATAGTACAGGAGGCGTTGGAGGAACGACTAGAGTCGGCAGTGCAAACGTTCTGCTGGGAAAGAGCCCCAAAGAGACTCAGCCCTCTGAATGTGCCAGCAACAGAGAATGCCTGTGACGAGCACAAAGGGTCATAATGCTAATATTTACTTTGAAACTGCTCAGGATTCCAGGCTCAACTAGGCTCTGTTGAACTTGGAAAAACAAAACATACAAGAGAAGCAGGATTGAGGCTCAGTGCAGGAGGAGGGGAAGGGCAGCTAGCATTCTCTCAGGGTTAGGGAGCGATGGTTTCATTTCTCCATCTCTGGGAGAGGCAGCCGTCCACCTGTCTGAGACAGGCTGCCAGCCCACTCTCAGGAGAAAAGTTGCCGTGGTTTGTAGCATTTACCAATTTTTGTGCTGTCATTATTCCCACCATAGCTGGTTTTAAGCTGCCAACATGACATCACTGCACATGGGCTTGGGAAGAACTGCAGGAAGCCGGGCGAGCCGGCTCCAGCACACCCCTGTTTGCCAGGTCTCTGCAAGATCAGGAAGAAGTAGAGGGCAAGGTCACAGAGCCAGGCAGGACCTCGTCCCCATCCATAGGCTCCCTTGGCCAACAGGAGTTCCTGGAGAGTTCCCTTTTGGACACCTTCCGGTTGAACTCAAAGACGTTTCTCTTGGTTTATTCCAACATTCGGAGCCGGAAGAGACTAGCTCTCCTGATCATTGCTGTATCCCCGGCTCCTAAACCTGTGCCTGGCTCCTATTAAAGGTTCTAAATATTTGTCGAATGACTGAATGAAACAACATATCACACCTATGGGACGCACTAGAACATGCATGGGCTCCAGTGTCAGACTGCCTGCGGTCAAATGCTGGCATTGCCACATACCACTTTTGTGACCCTGGGCCAGTTTCTTCCTCCACATTTTATAGATGAGGAACGTGACGTGCAGAGAGGCTGAAGAGCAGGGGCACATTCACACAGCTAGGAAGTGGCTCGGTTAATCCATCTGTAAATTAAGGACAAATAGTAGTATTATCTAATACACAGTCTTATTTTAGGGAATAAATAAGGAAATATATGTAGGGTATTTACAGTGGCGCCCACATAGTAAGTGCTCCAGGAGCAATAGCTGTTATTATTACTACTCAAACCTGCTCATTTTATGGAAAAAGAGACTGGAGTCCAGAGAAGGGGAAGGGCTAGGCTTAGGTCACAGTCGTTTAGTGATAACCTGCCTGGGACTCTGCATTTCATCACTTGCAAGGACTTAGTTGCACAGGGTACCAGAGGATGCAAATGTTAACAGCAGATGAGGAAAAGGGCTAAGCTTTTCTTTGTCACAGTGGTTTTGAACTCCCGGTAGAGAGGTCAACATCAGTCTAGCCCAGGGAGTATAGTTTGAAAAAGCAGATTTCATATTCCATGTTTTAAATTGAATTCTTTTTTAAAAAGCTGGTGTTTCCAGGATCCTATCTACATTAAGTCAAGGGAGAGGAAATCCTCTGGGCTGGTGGAGATGACTTAAAAAGGGTTAAGAAACCCCGCTGTACACTCTGAGGAGGGAGGAGGAGAGAGAAATTGACCCCTCGGGACTCCTCAGGTTTCCTGCTGGAATCTAATTGCCAAGTCCCTACCTTCCTGCAGGGGTGTGGAATCTGCTGACCTGATCTGAGTTGAGCCGAGAGTGGCTCCCCTCCCCCGCTCAGTACCGGGCCCAGGACAACATCCCAGGCTCAGGCTGGGTCTGTGGCAGCCATCGAGAGAGAGAGATCCCACCCCTCCCCGCCCCCAGGCTCCACATTGATGGAAAACTGGAACGGGACAAGCACACTTGATTTTCTGCCCTCTTCTCATGCTGCATTTATCACAATTCCCTAGACACCCGCCGGGTCTTTTCTTCCAGACACTCATCATTGAGCATCTAATTTCCACAGCCCTTTTGCACTGGCAGGCGTCCGGGTGGTCATTTCCTCCGTTGCCCTGCCCTGCCCGGCCCACCCGGCCTGCCTTTCTACAGCTGCGCAAACAGGGCGGGCCCTTCCCTCTGTGGTACTGCTCCTGAGGCCTCCGTGTGAGCCTCTTGCTAGGCGCTCCGGGGAGTACCAGAAGTTGCCCATCCCCTGCTCTCTGGGAAGTCTTAGGATCAGGGAGTCAGGGAGCCAGCTCTGGGTGCTGGGGAGTCAGGGGCCGCCCCGATCTAGGAGCTGCGGGGCGTTCAGCAAAGAGCTCACAGAACGGGAGAGAGGGTCTGAAAGTGGGGATGTACATGGACAATGTATTAGGCACGGACAAAGACCGGCGAAAATGTAGCTTAAGCTTCAACGCCCAGAGGGAAGGCGAGTTAGGGAGAGGCAGCCACCCTGTGTTCCCGTTTCAGAGGTGCCGGCCCCTTTGCAGTGGAGCGGCACCCGCACCTTGGGTGGGGAGGGGGGCGATGTCTTCCGCTGCTTAGCCAAGTCTGCCACTTCCCATGGCAGCCAAGTCTGCCACTTCCCACCTCACCAAGTTTTTCTGGGGACCCAAATACTTCCTGTTCCTTTAGGGAGGGAGAAAAGGGCCTCTTCTGGGAGAGTCTTTGCTGCTAGTAGGTATAACAGACCCTGGCTGGAAGCACGATCTGTGTGAGGAACCATTTCCCTGCACCCTGGCAATCAACCACATTAGTCAGACCTGGCTCTGAAATTGGGCTGGGGAGCCGGGTAGCCAGGCTGAGTTGAATGTTCTCCTTGTTTTCTCTCTCTCTCACACTGATCCCTCCACATACAGAAAGCTCTCAGCATAGACAGATATTTTTAAAAGCACCTCCTGCATTCATAGCTCATTATTCCGGATAAAAGAGGTTTGCAAGATGCAAAGCTAGACACACCCAGAGGTGGGAGGGGAGATGGACCATTTACGGTTATGGGTTGTGCAGCTCGAACCCTAGCCCTGGACTGCCCTGCAGATATGTGCTGTCGGTCACAAGAGGGGACCTTCCAGGCCAGGATTTGCCCAGGGCAAACCCACTCCCCCCATTCCCAACTGGGAAGGTGTGTCAATTCCCACATCTCAAGGGTTGTGAGCAGGCAGAGGGAGAAGAGGGGTGATGATAGCGGAACAGCAGGGTAGCCCGGGTCTTCAAAGCGCAGTCCTTGGTTCCTGGCAGTGACTTGACATCCTTTGCGTCTCTCAGGAATAACCTCCACAAACCTTCACCAGTCCCCACAGCCCTTCCCCGACTCGTTGCCCTGGTGCGAAAGCCAGTGGTTTTGAAATTCCAGGGGTTTAATTTATTAGTATCCCGCAGCCTGTTAGTTAAACAAACAACTGATTGGCTTGTTTGAAATTTAAAGGGAAGAATAATTTGTGGCCTGCTAAATTCCCTCTCCATTAGCTAAAAATGGTCTCCCCACTGGGATGCATATCTGGGTGCTGTCTGGGCCTGGCTGGGAGAGGTGGGGACTGAGAGGAGAGGATACTTATTTGATGAGGGACTGCTGTCCCTTTCTTGTAAACTTGAAAATAGCCCTTAAATTTTTATTATGAAAGCTATACACGTTCCTTGTAGAAAACTTGGAAAATAGAGAAAAGCATAAAGAAAGAAGTGAAAAGCGCACATAACCCCACCACCCAGACATGACCGTTGGTAAGAGTACACTGTACGCCCTTCCAGTGTTTTTCTAGGCATAACTCTACCTCACCATCACTGCCTTTAACATGGTTTCTTTTTCTGACTATAAAAACAATGCATACTCAATTTTCAAATAACACAAAAATATGAAGACTAAAAGAAAAATTACCCCAGTTCCACTGTCCTGAGATGACTACTGCTAATATGTTGGTGCAGTTCCTTATCCTCTTTTTCACTTAACTGAGATCAAATAGTCCATGTAGCTCTACGTGCTCTTCACTTAGTGTCTTACCGTGTACATTTTCCCATGTCAGTGAATATGTATCCGAAACATGTGTAATGGCTGCGTGGTCATTGTGTGAATGCATCATAATTCATTCTTTTGTTTTTCAGGAGAGACAGGTTTGGGCAAGTCCACCCTCATGGACACCCTGTTCAACACCAAGTTCGAGGGGGAGCCAGCCACCCACACACAGCCGGGTGTCCAGCTCCAGTCCAATACATATGACCTTCAAGAAAGCAACGTGGGGCTAAAGCTCACAATTGTTAGCACAGTGGGCTTCGGGGACCAGATCAACAAGGAGGACAGGTAAGGGAGGCGGTGGGGTGCGGAGGCTACTGGGAGGCCACGGGGAGGAGCTCACCACTGGGGTCCCGCTGGACCTCTCAGATGATGCAGGCAGGCAGCAGAGCTCAGTAGCGCCACCTCCGCCCAGGGTCCCTGTCTATTTCAGTGTTCTACTCCATACGCTTTGCCAAAAGGAGGATGTTTTTCTGTTCCATTCGACAGACATTATTTATTGAGCCAGGTACTGCCGTGCTCCGACAGTCTAAAAAGGAATGACCTTGTCTCTGCCCCTGAGGCAAAGACTCACGGGAAACCTGGTCTTAAGCAAACAAGTTCCTTTGAGTGTGACCTGCTCTGTAAAGGACAGGGTACAATGAGAACATGAAGGAGAGAACAGTCAGCTCCATGCAGGGAGGTCAGGGAGGCCTGCACAGAGGAGGTGCCCCTGAGCTGGCCTTTGAAGGGTGAACGATTTTGCTGGACAGACAAGGGAAGGTTGGGAACCCCATCCCGGGCAGGGACAGCTGCTTGTACAGAGGCAAAGGGATGTGGAAGACTGTGGCATGTTCTAGGGGACTGAGCTTGCTCTGTTTGGCTAGACCAGGGGTAGAGTTACTGTGAAGCTAGTGAAGCTTGTTTCAGGGCCCTCAGTTGCTCACGCACCTCCAAAGCCCTGGAAATAATTTCTAGTCATTGTGTTGTTTGATCTTTCTTGGAGGGCCCTTCAAATCGTGTAAACCTAGGGCCCCGCAATACCTGCTGTGCCCCTGGGCCGGTGCTTGGCGTGAGCTGGGGGAAAAGTGAGGGGAGACGAGCCTGAAGAGGTAAGCAGGGACCAGATCATGGAGGGGTTTGTAGAATGTGTAGATATGGAGCCACTGAAAAGCTTTATGAAGTAGAATGATGTAGTCGAATTGGCCTTTGAAGAGGGGGCTTTGGGATAGTATGGAGATGGGCTGGTGAGCAGGAAGACCAATTAGGAGACTGTTGGACCAATTTGAAAGAGGCCAGCGATGACACAGGTGCTGAGACAGGGAAGAGGGGACAGATTTGATAACTACTGAGTAGGTAGACTCAACAGGACTTGGGGGTTGGGAGGGCAAAAGAAGAACCTAGAATGAGGCTTGGATTTCTGGCTTTGGAGGGTGGACAGATGGTTGGCAGCATTCAGTAAGAGTTACCATAAGAACCAGGTTTAAGAAGAATCAGCTCTGTTTAGGAAGTGTTGAGTTTGAGCTGCCTGCGGACCATCGAGAGAGGATAGGCAGCTAAATATGCAGGGTTAGAGGTCAGGAGAGGGTCTGCGCTGTAAACAGACTTGGGTTATCAAGGTATAGGTGATATGTTCCAGCCACAGACACACGTAAGATCATCCAGGGATTGGAGCCGAGTGAGATGAACGCTGGGCTAAAGATAAAAACCTGAGGATGTTAAGTCAGCAGATGGAGGAAAAGACATCCTGGAAAGAGACCGAGCTGGAATAAGCAGAGAGGTAGGAGGAGAGACTGTGGGTGGTTGAGAATGGTGTGCCAGTGAGGGCTGGAGTGAGGCTCAGATGAGGACGAGATGAGGGCTGGGTTGAGGGAGGGGGAGGGCGTCAGGCACCGTCTGCCTTTAACTAAAAGTCACATGGTTATCACAGGTGCTCTTCACAGAAAAGGTCATTCATCATTTTGAGCAGTGCTCATCCTTTGAGGATTCCCTTGCTTCTCAGATGAACTGTATCCCCAGTTCTTCTATTTCTCCCTTAAAATAACAACAGCCATACTCATTTCCTTATAGTGAATAAATATATTTAGCTCCTTAATGATTGAACTGAATTCTGTTTTCCATTTGAAATTCTAGACGAAGGACACCTCTGCTTTGTATAGGCCTGCTTATTGTGCTAATCTTGTTTGGTGGAGAATAAATTAAACCCTGGGGAAAGGGGCTGTTTGGGTCACAATATGAGTGATCAATCTCAGCTGCAGACTGCTCAGCATCTCGTCCATTAAATTTCTCACAGTTCTCAGTAACATATAGTCGACATATCTAACGTTGGAAAACGCCTGCATAATGATGGTTTGGGAGGGCCAAACTGATAGAGCCCCTTAGAGGCTAATCTACTTCTCTTGCCCCTTAGAGGCTAACCTACTTCTCTTCTATTTTTAATATCCTTACTGTTTTTCCTGATTATAAATGTGATACGTGCTTATATCAAATAATACAAACTCGCATAAGTAAAAATGAGAAGCCTCCGGGAAATGGGCTGGGGAACAGAAGTGGAGTAAGCTCCAGGGATTTGTAATAAAAAGCCGTGTTTTCTCCATTCTGACAGGGCCATGAGGACATAGATAGGTCAGTGAAGCTGCACGGAAAGAGAGCATCAGAAGGCCCTGCTTTACCCAGGGTGCAGGGGCAAACTGAGAAGAGCAGTGACGAAGGCCATATCATGAAGGGCACCATTTGAAAGCTGCTGAGGCAAAAGGAACTCAAGAGGGAGACAGAGGACAGGCTGGAAAGGGGTGTGCTTAGGAACTCAGGCTTTGGTCTCAGACAGACCTAGGTTCAAATCCCATCTTGCTACTTATTAGCTCAGGGATCTTGGACAAGCATTTTGTGCTGGTCTCAGCCTATCCATAACCAATGTTGCGGCTGGACCGGCCCTTGTGGTTCTTATTATGATTGCAAGACGCCCTCAGTAATAACCGTCAGGAAACTTGGAGGGGAAAAAAATGTTTATTACTCACAGGCTCTGGAAAGGACAAGGCACACCCGGGGCTACACAGCGAGGTCGAGGGTAGAGAAAGAGAGCGAGAGCACCTGGGCCTGAGGTTCTGCTTTCATAGGGATCGAGGGTAGGCGGCCTGTGGTTTTGCGGGCTTACTCTTTATTGGTGAATGTAAAACATAAGAGCGGGAATTTAACACGTGGGGAGAGAAAAAAACAAGTGGCCTAAATGGTCAGTTATAGAAATCCACCAATATCTTTAAAACAAGGACGCCTGGGGTGGGGGGGTGGACGGGGCTGGTTCCTTATCTTTCTGTGGCTGGCAGTGTGTTTATTCGTGATAGCTGTCCTTGAAGTAGGTGCCTTTTTGAAGTGGATGCCTCCGAAATCAAAGCTTAAATCAGACACTTGGTTACAAAAATGCAAGTTACAACTGTCAGGGCTTACACTACAACTAGGCACTTAAATTCTTTATGCCTCAGTTTCCTGTAAAGTGGGGATGGTGATAATACTGATATCTACCCAGAGGGTTATGGGTGAGGCATACTCCACGTGTATGGCATAGGAAACGCTTAAACAGTGCCTGGCACGGGGTAACTAACGATATTGTTATGATCGTGACTTTTATTGGTAGAAGAATCAAGGGAGAGTTGTATTATGTAGCATATGTGAGGGAAATGATAAATAGTGTCCAGAGAGATAAAAACTGAAAAATATCCATTGGGTTTGGCAACATGAAGGTCATTAATACACTTAGGAATAATAATTCCAGGGAAATCGTGGGTAGAAACTAGATTGCCATGAGTGAATGGGAGGTAAGGAAGTAAAGGCATCAGAATAGCAAAAGGAGGGACTTCCCTGGTGGCGCAGCGGTTAAGAATCCACCTGCCAGTGTGGGGGACAGGGATTCGAGCTCTGGTCCGGGAAGATACCGCATGGCATGGAGCAACTAAGCCTGTGTGCCACAACTACTGGGCCTGCGCTCTAGAGCCCGAGAGACACAACTACTGAGCCCTCGTGCCACAACGATTGAAGCCTGTGCACCTAGAGCCCGTGCTCCGCAACAAGAGAAGCCACCACAATAAGAAGCCCGTGCACCGCAACGAATAGTAGTCCCCGCTCGCCACAACTAGAGAAAGCCTGTGCACAGCAACGAAGACCCAACGCAGCCAAAAATAAATAAATAAATAAATAAATTTATTTATTTATTAAAAAAAATAGCAAACGGAGCAATTGAACAGAAAAATGAGTCCAAGATCAAATCCATGTTTCTATGGGAATTTAGATTTGTAAGTTAGCAAGGAAAGAATAGACTATTCAAGAAAATGTGGGCTTCCCTGGTGGCACAGTGGTTGAGAGTCCGCCTTCCAATGCAGGGGTCACGGGTTCGTGTCCCGGTCCGGGAAGATCCCACATGCCGCGGAGCGGCTGGGCCCGTGAGCCATGGCCGCTGAGCCTGCGCGTCCGGAGCCTGTGCTCCGCAACGGGAGAGGCTACAACAGTGAGATGCCCGCGTAACGCAAAAAAAACAAAACAAAACAAAAAGAAAATGTGCTGGGAAAATAGGCCATCCGTTAGGAAAACATAAGATGAGACCATCCCACACAAACACCATTCACAAAAATAGATTCCAGTTGGATTGAAAACAACTTCTAAAAATATGAGGAAAAAATATAAGAGAATATTTTTATAACTTTGGGGGTAGAGAAGGCTTTTTTTAAAAACATCTTTATTGGAGTGTAATTGCCTTACAACGGTGTGTTAGTTTCTGCTTTATAACCAAGTGAATCAGTTATACATACACATATGTTCCCATATTTCTTCCCTCTTGCGTCTCCCTCCCTCCCACCCTCCCTATCCCGCCCCTCTAGGTGGTCACAAAGCACCGAGCTGATCTCCCTGTGCTATGCGGCTGCTTCCCACTAGCTATCTATTGTTTTTTTGTTTGTTTGTTTGTTTGTTTGTTTTGCTGTACACGGGCCTCTCACTGTTGTGGCCTCTCACGTTGCGGAGCACAGGCTCCGGGCTCGCAGGCTCAGCGGCCATGGCTCATGAGCCTAGCCACTCCGTGGCATGTGGGATCTTCCTGGACCAGGGCACGAACCCGTGTCCCCTGAATTGGCGGGCGGACTCTCAACCACTGCGCCACCAGGGAAGCCCACTAGCTATCTATTTTACGTTTGGTAGTGTATATATGTCCATGCTACTCTCTCACTTTGTCACAGCTTACCCTTCCCCCTCCCCCTATCCTCAAGTCCATTCTCTAGTAGGTCTGTGTCTTTATTCCCATCTTGCCCCTAGGTTCTTCATGA